CAATAATGAAGCTCTTATCATTACCCCAACACATGTTTGTTTGCTTGTTTGTTTGTTTGTCTATATTGTATATATCTCCAACTGTCCGGGAACTCTCTATGTAGACCAGGATAACACTGAACTTACAGAGAGTCCCCTGCTTCTGCCTCCTGATTTCTGGGATTAGAGGCATACACCACCATGCCCAGCTATTGCCTCAAACTAAGTATGGAGATCTTAATGAATGTCTGAAGCTTGTCCAGCCTATCTAGCTGGTAAGCAAGGAAGTCAGCATCATATATTAGCTGCCTAGCTCACTCTTAATCCATCCGTTCAGCTTGACTCTGTCCATCCATCTTTCCGACCCAACTCCTATCTCTTCCACCCTTGTAACTGGTCTAATCCATTGACTTTCTTGCTACGCTGGAGCCGCCCCTTTCCCAGCTCAGCTTTCCGTGCTCTGACTGACACCTGCGATTCTCTCTCCTGGAACCTAGCTGCCTTCTCCCCTGTTTTCAATGGGGACTTGTTCATTCATCTTTTCAAGGAGCATTGGGTTAGCTGCCCCATTCTTTGAACAACAGGATTCTAATATTCTCTTACTATACAATTATTGTGCATTTATTGATTACTTGCTGCCTGGCTCTGTGGCATCCTTTTGATTATAAGGTACCTACGGGCAGCCAGAAGATTGTCTATACTTTTATCTAGTATCCATTTGAATGCCAGATAAAAAAGTAGACATTTAAGAAATATTTGATGACTTGGTAGTGAAGGAAATTAAGAACATTCTCATGAAAGTTTGGCTTAAGGGAATACCCTAGGCTGCAAGCCATGTCCCTGTATACACAGCGATCTCCACAGTTAGCATCTACCACACCTCCTCACCTTCACACGCTTTCCATCTAACTCAGGTCTCAACTGACATTATGCAAATGAACAAAACATGTAATCCATACCCCTGAGGCTAGAAAGTGCATCAAAGTGGACCCATAGTTCCTCCACCTCCTCCGTCTTTCAGAGTCTCTTCTTCATGGTTTTCCTTTTCCTGCCTTCTAACTTCAATTAATTTGATAAAGTAGTTGCTTGGTTTTCCCGGCTGTGGAGCCGTTCATTTCTTGACCTGATTTGCTCCCTTTCCTTTTTCTTTTGGTCATTTTGTTCTTAACACTTATCTGACAATTTTATTCCATTGATTTTATCCTGAACTGTTTTGCACACTTCTAACTTTTTTGCAAGTTGATATTTTTGTGTTGCTTAACATTTCTGTGTCCTGTTTATAGCAGGAGGTATATGAATGAATAAGTGAATGAGTTCAAACAACAAGATCACGCATCTGTGCATGCTGATCAAGTAGGCACGCAGACTTCCTGCAACTCACGGCATCCCTCCGCACCAGAGAAAGTGTGTAGCACGAGCAGCAAAATGAGTGTGAAAAGGGGAGGATGTGCAACACTTTCCTATGTTTGAGTTTGGTGCTTCTCTTTTAATTTTACTGGCTTTCGCTGATAATTCTTCAAACCTCTCCCCAATCTCAAATACAAAAACACATCAAAAGTTTACATGTGTTACTTATTAATCAATTAGATAATGCTCTTTTTGTACGGCTATGAAACGTATGTCTATGTTTGCCTCTCTACGTCAGGATCCATAGCACTGGAAGGTCAGAACTGCATTTATGGTTTCCACTTACCTTTGGCAAACTCTGGCTTCATTCTCGACATGTGTTCCATGAGAAGGAAGGACTGTAATATTGACTGGCTTGGAGACGAACAGAGAAGCAAACAACACATTTGTTTGCAAGAAAAAAAGACCACCACAAAGCAGCCCACTGATATGTCAAAAGAACATAGTTGGGGACACTTGTGCCAATGCTCAGGAAATAAAATTCCTTTGCTAAATGACAGCCTATCTCTGGAAGGCTATGATATTCTTACAAGAATGCTCATTGCTTTTAAATCTTAAAAACAATGCCTGTGATAAACTATGTGAGTGCCAATCCTTCACATAAGGTTGAGAAGGCAGAATCCACAGTGAACAAACACGCTAGTAGCATACTGCACCTATAGCAGGTCAGAGACCATCAGGAGTGATCAGAATTGGCTTTTACAGTTAAAACCAGTGTTCCTCACACTGTGAAATTGAATTTTGGCTCTTAGAAATTTATTTTACTATCTCCTGATGGTTTGGGTGAGTTACTGGCTACTCTGGGTTATTATCTATTTTATTTTCCTCTTGAGAGACCTTGCACCAATGCTGACATCTGTTTGCTCTTAACATTTTTGGTTTTTTTTCTGAATCTGCCAGCTTTGTCCACTTAAATATTAGGTTTGAAATATTCTTTCAATATGAAAATATTTACTACCAAGTATATTTGGTAATAAAAAACAGTACCCCAAGATAAGTTTAGTAAAAATAATACTTGAGAATAAGAAAGCAAGTCCAAATGGAAAATATCTTTGAGTTCTTGTTTTTTTCTCCCAACATATTGCTGCTCATTTTTCTTTTCACCAAACAAAACACCTGCAGGGGTTAATTTTGGCTTACAGAGTTGAGGATTACGGTCTGTCATGTGGATAGGAGCCCTGGTAATGGGAGAGGCTGGACTTCACACATTACAGAAAGGGACATGGCAGTACTCAGCTGTCTAGCTGATGGGTGATGCTGCCTGTACTGTGACAGGTCTTCCCTCCTGAGGTAGACTGCCCGTACTTGTGACAGGTCTTCCCTCCTGGTGTAGACCTCTCCAGACATGCCACCACAGACACATTTTTGCTCTGATAGAATCTCTCTTAATTCTTTATTATTATTTTCTCATTTACTCTATATACCAATCATCACAGTTTCCCCCTCCCTCCTCTCTCCCAGCTCCCTGTCCTCACCTCCCATTTATCTCCCCCCTCCTATTCCTCCATTCAGAAAAAGGGAGCCCTCCCATGGGCATCATCAACAAAGCATGGCACAACCAACTGAGGCAGGACCAAGCTCCTCCCTCTTCAGAAAGACTGGGCAAGGCAATCCGGTACTGGGAATCGGTTCTCAAAATGTCAACGCACGCTCTAGAGACAGGTCTTGCCTCCGCTGCTAGGATCTCCACAGATTCAGCTACACTACTGTCACGGCCATGCAGAGGGCCTGCATCAGTCCCACGCAGACTCCCCAGCTGTTGGTCCAGAGTACATGAGCTACCACTAGTTCAGGTCGGCTCTCCCTGTGGATTCCCAGTCATGACCTTGACCTGCCTGGCTTGTACAGTTCCTCCTCCCACTCTTCAACTTGACCCCCTAAGTCTGGCTGGCCTAGTGCTTGACTGTAGATCTCTGCATCCGCTTCCATCAGTTATTGGATGAAGGCTGCCCGATGACAATTAGGGTTGTCACCAATCCCTGATGGAGACGGGCAGTTCAGGCACCCTCTCCACTTTTGCTGGGAATCTCAGTTGAGGTGATCCTTTTGAATTCCTAGGAGTTAGCCTGACACCAGGTTTCTCCCTAACCCAGAAATGTCCCCTCCCTCCAATCAAGACATCTCTTTCATTACTCTCACCATTCATCCTGGCCCAACATTCCCAGCGCAATCCCTCGAGTTTTCACCCCCTGCCTCCACCCCTAGTTTACCCAGGAGGGCTCTTCTCTTTCACCTTCACAAGGAAATCCATGCATCCCTCTTTGGGCCCTCCTTGTTATGTAGCTTCTCTGGAACCGTGGTTTGTAGCCTGGTTATTCTTTTACTTTACACTTAATATCTATTATGAGTGAATACATACCATGTTTGTCTTTCTGGGTTACCTCACACAAGATTTTCCTAGCTGTATCCATTTGCTTGCAAATTTCATGATGTCATTGTTTTGTACAGTTGGATAATACTCCATTGTGTAAATGTGCCATATTTTCTTTACCCATCATTCAGGTGAGGGGCATCTAGGTTGTTTCCAGGTTCTGGCTACTAGGAATAATGCTGCTATGAGCATCGTTGAACAAGTGTCCTTGAGGTATGATTGTGCACCCTTCAGGTATATTCCCAAGATTGGTATAGCTGGGTCTTGAGGTAGGTTGATTCCCAATTTTCTGAGAAACCACCATATCAAGTCCCAAAGTGGCTCCCCAAGTTTGCATTCCCACAAGCAGTGGAGGATTGTACCCCTTACTCCACGTCCTCTTCAACATAAGTTGTCTTCAGTGTTTTTGATCTTAGTAATTTTGGCAGGTCTAAGATTATATCTTGTTTTGATTTGTATTTCCCTGATGGTCAAGGATGTTGAACAATTCTTCAAGTGTATTTCTGACATTTGTTATTTTTCTGTTGAGAATTCTGTTTAAATCTGTTCCCCAGATTTTGAATTTGATTATTGATAATTTGTTATCTAGTTTATTGAGTTCTTTATATATTTTGGAGATCAGCCCTATGTCAGAAACGGAGTTGGTAAAGATCCTTTCCCACTCTGTAGGTTGCTGTTTCAACCTATTGGTAGTGTCCTTTGCCTTACAGAAACTTTTCAGCTCCAGAGGGTTTTAAACTGTTTACAGTGTCTGTGCTACTGGGATTATATTCAGGAAGTGGTCTCCTGTGCCAATGAAGTCAAGACTACATCTCACTTTCTCTTCCATAAGGTTCAAAGGTTCAGTATAATTGGATTTACGGAGGTCTTGATCCATTTGGACTTGAGTTTTGTGCATGGCAATAAATACAAATCTACTGCATTCTTCTGGATGCTGAAATCCAGTTATACAAGAACCATTTGTTCAAGATGATTTTCCCCTTTGTATAATTTTGGCTTCTTTATCAAAAATCAGGTGTTCATAAGTGTGCCTGTTTATGTCAGGATCTTCAATTAAATTTCATTGATCCATGTGCCTGTTTTCATGCCAGTAACAAGTTGGTTTTATTGTTACAGCTCCGTAGTCGAGCTTGAGGTCGAGGATGGTGATAGCTCTGGAATTTCCTTTATTGTACAGAATTGTTTTAGTTATCCTGTGTTTCTTATTATTAGAAAAGTTGAAATTGAGTATTGTTCTTTCTAGGTCTGTGAAGAATCGTGTTGGGATTTTGATGGGGATTGCAATAAATCTGTAAGATTGTGCTAGGTAAGACTGTCATTTTTACTATGTTAATCATACCTATCTATAAGCATAGGAGATCTTATCATTTTCTGATATATTCTTCAGTTTCTTTCTTCAAGGACTTAAAGTTCTTGTCATACAGGATTTTCACATGTTTGGTTAGAGTTACCCAAAGATATTTTGTATTATTTGTGGCTATAGTAAAGTGTATTCTTTCCCTGATTCTTTCTCAGCCCTTTCATCATTTGTATATAGAAGGGATACTAATTCTTTTGAGTTTATCTTGTATTCAGTCACACCACTGAAGGTGTTTATCAGCTGTGGAACCCCTGGTAGAATTTTTGGAGTCACTTTTAAACACTATCTTATTATCTGCTAGAAAGTTTGACTGCTTCCTTTCCAATTTATATCCCCTTGATCTCTGTTTGTTGTCTTATTGCTCTAGCTAGAACTTTGAGTACTATATTGAATAGATATGAAGAGAGTGGACAGTCTTGTCTTGTTCCTGATTTTAGTGGAATTACTTTGAGTTTAATTTGATTTTAACTGTTAGCTTCCTGTATATTGCTTTTATTATGTCTAGATATGTTCTTTGTATTCATGATCTCTCCAAGAAGTTTATCATGAAGGAGTGTTGGATTTTATCAAAGGCTTCTTCAGCATCTAATGATATAATCATGTGTGTTTCTTCTTTCAGTTTGTTTATATGATGAATTACATTGACAAATTTTCATGTGTTTAACCATCCCTGCATCTCTGGGATGGAGCCTACTTGATCATGGTGGATGATTTCTTGATGTGTTCTTGGATTCATTTTGCCAGTATTTTATTGAATATTTTTGCATCTCTTTGTTGCATCTTTGTGTGGTTTAGGTATTAGGGTAAGTGTAGCTTTATAAAAAAGAGTTTGGCAATGTTCTTTCTGTTTCTAGTATGTGGAACAATTTGAGGAATACTCATATTAACTGTCCTTTGAAATTCTTATAGAATTCTGTTCTGAAACCATTTGGTCCTGAGCTTCTTTTAGTTGGGAGGTTCTTAATGACTGCTTTTGTCTCTTTAGCAGTTATATGCCTATTTAATTTTTTTTACCTAGTCTTGATTTAATTTTGGTATGTAGTACCTATCATGAAAATTTCCCGTTTCTTTTAGATTTTCCAATTTTGTAGAGTACACGTTTTTTAAATGATTCTCTGGATTTCCTCAATGTTTGTTGCTATATCCCCTTTTTCATTTCTGATTTTGATAATTTGGATATTCTTCTCTGCCTTTTACTTAGTTTGGATAAAGGTTTGACTATCTTGTTGATTTTTTCAAAGAACCAATTCTTTGTTTCATTGATTCTTAATATTGTTCTCTTTGTTTCTATTGTATTGATCTCAGCACCAAGTTTGATTATTTGCTGGTGAGGGAGTTGGCTTCTTTTTGTTCCCGAGCTTTCAGATGTGCTGTGAAGTCACTAGTGTGAGATTTCTCCCACTTTTCTATGCAGTCACTTAGTGCTGTGAACTTTCCTCTTAGCACCCCTTTTATAGTGTCCCATAAGTTTGGGTATGTGGTGTATTCATTTCCCTTGAATTCTAGAAAGTCTTTAATTTCTTCCTTGACCCAGTGGTAACTCATGTGGGAGTGGCTCCATGTCCATGAGTTTCTAAGGCATTCTCTGCCTTTTGTTGGTGTTGAACTCTAACTTTAACCGTGGTGATCTGATAGGATACAGGGGATTATTCTAACTTTTGTATCTCTTGAGATTTTCTTTGCAACCAAGTATGATCAGTTTAAGAGAAGGTTCCTTAATGTGCTGAGAAGGTATAGTCTTTTTTGTCTGGATAATAATGTTCTGTGGATGTCCGTTAGTCCATTTGAGTCATAACATCTGTTAGTTCTTTATTAATTTATTTTATTAATTTATTAATTTATCTGTTAGTTTCTTTGTTAATGTCCTGTCCATTGGTGAGAACTGAGTGTTGAAGCCTCCCACTATTAAAGTGTGTGTTTGATGTGTAATATAAACTTCAGTAATGCTTCTTTTCCAAATGGGGTGTACTTGTATTTGGGTCATAAATGTTCAGAATTGGACTTCATCCTGATGAATTTTTCCTGTGATGAATATGTAATGTCTTTTTTCATCTCTTTTGTTTAATTTTAGTTTGAAATCTATTTTATTAGTAATTGGGATAGCTTTACTGAGTTGCGTCTTCGGTCCATTTGATTAGAAAGTCTTTCCCTAGTGGTTTCCTCTGAGGTAATATCCGTCTTTGTAGTTGACCTGTGTTTCTTGTATACAGTGTTAGGATGGATTCTGTTTACATATCCATTTTGTTAGCCTGTGTCTTTTATTGAAAAATTGAGTCCATTGATATTAAGAGATATTAATGACAAGTGATTGTTGATTTTTGTTTTGTTTTGGTTTGGGTGGCTGTAGTAGTACTGTATGTATTTCCCTTCTTTGGATTTTTGCTGGTGCGAGATTGTCTAGTGCCTGTGTTTTCATGGATGCAGCTAATTTCCTTGGGTTGCAGTTTTTATTCCAGTATTTTCTGTACAATTGGATTTGTGGATAGATATGGTTTAAATCTAGTTTTGTCATGAAATATATTGTTTTCTCTGTCTGTCGTGATTGAAAGCTTCATTGATTATAAGAGTCTTGACTGGCTTCTGCAGTCTCCTAGTGTCTACAAAATATCAGTCCAGGACCTTTTGGCTTTTAGGGTCTCCATTGAGAAGTTGGGTGTAATTCTGATAGGCCTGCCTTTGAATGTTACTTGGTCTTATTCCTTTGTAGCTCTTAATATTATTTCTTTATTACATATGTTTATGTTTAGTGTTTTGGTTATTATATGGTGGGGGACTTTTTTTTGGTCCAGACTATTTGGTGTTCTGTAAGCTTCTTGTATCTTCACAAACATTTCCTTATTTAGGTAAGGTAAGCTCTCTTCTATGATTTTGTGGAATATATTTCTGTGCCTTTGAGCTGGACTTCTCCTTCTCCTATTCATGCTATTCTTAGGTTTGATTTTTTTCATGGTTTCCAAGATTTCCTGGATGTTTTGCCCTAGGGATTTTTTGAATTTAACATTTTCTTTGACTGATGAATCTATTTCCTCTATTGTATCTTCAATGCCTGAGATTTCTCTCTTCCATCTCTTGTATTCTGTTGGTCATGCTTGCATCTGCAGTTTCTGTTTGCTTACCCAGATTTTCCACTTCCAGAATTCCCTTGGTGTGTGTTTTCTTTATTGTTTCTATTTTAGTTTTCAAGGCTGGAACTATTTCCTTCACTTGTTTGTTTTTCCTTGGCTTTCTTGGATTTCTTTAAGGAATTTATTGATTTCTTTCAATTTTTTGTGGTGTTTTCCTAGATTTCTTTAAGGGATTTTTTTTCATTTCCTCTTTAAGGACCTCTATAATCTTTAAAAAGTTATTTTAAGGTTATTTTCTTGTTCTTTGGCTGTGTTGTAACGTTCAGCTGTCATAAGATAGATGGGCTCTAGAGGTGCCATGTTGTTCTTTCTCTTGTTGAATGTATTCTTACACTGCCATTCATGCATCTGGATTTGGAATGATTATAGGTACAGGTGTTGATTCTTGTGTTGTGTTTGTTAGCTGGTGTTTTGTTCCTTTATTATCTGTTTTCTTTATTGTCTTCTGGCTTGAATGGCCAAGGGTTCTGGAAATAGGCAAGTCTTCAGGTCCAGTAAAGTTGGTTGAGGTTTGTGGGGGCTTGGGTGCCTAGATTTAGTGTTTCCTCCTGTTCTTCTGGCTGGTGTGAGCTGTACCTGTGCCTAGTCTTCCAACTGGTGTGGATTCTGCCTGAGACTAAGTCCAGTGGAGTTGCCGGAGAAGGCAGGACATAGGAAGGATGATGAGATGGGTGGGGTTGGGCAATAGACTGGGTCTTGGGGGAATAGACTCCAGTGGGTGCTGGCTGCAGTGGTGCAGCCTGGGGGCGGATCTCTGACCTGTGGGTGGGCTACTCCAGTGGGTGCTGGCTGTGGCGGTGCAGCCTGAGGGCAGATCTCTGACCTGTGGGTGGGCTGCTGGGCCTGCCATGCTAGACTCTCTTATAGAGAATGGTTTGCAGAGAAAAGCTCGTTATTTAAAGACTGCTTCATAATTTAATGTAATTTGACACTAAAACAGTGGCCATTTGAAGAGGGATTTCAAGAAAATATTAACCATTTAAGGATAAATTTGGATCTGAATATGGCAGAGCACACTTATGAGTTGGCCACACAAAAGGCTGAGGCAGGAGGCTCTCAAGTTTAAGCACACCTTGGACTACACTGTGAGTTTCACACCTGAGCTATATTGGAATCACTGGAAAAGAGCAGAACTTGTCAATTAAATTTTCATACAAAACATTAAAATTATCTAGAAATTAACACAGTTTTAGAATGAGTTTTTTAAAAATTCATATTATAGCAATAAGTAGATCCCTAGTTTTTTCTTGTTGTTGTTGTTTTTACTAAAGTTCAATGCATACTTGACAATCCACTTGGGAATAAAAATAAGATGCTAAGGAGGAGAAGAATATTCTCAATTTATTTTTTTTTATAATAGATACAGCTGTCCAGCTGCCTGATGTCTCCACAGAGAACAGCTACAGCTACACGTCGCCATGGAGAGCTTGGGGTGCCTGAGGTCATGTCCTAAGGTTTGATTGATACTGGCAAGTTATCCTCTTAGACATGTGGACATTGTAAAACAGTAAGTTACTGTTTAGATACAAACTCAGAAGCACTATCAGAAGCTTCATAGTGACAGCTTGTTTTCTAATATACAAGAGAAGGAATGTGCATTTTGATCATACATTTTAACTTAAGAACTTTAAAGTTTCAGATTACTTAGTAAAACGTACGTTTGTGTGTGTGTGCGTGTGTGTATATACTTGTGCATGCAGGTGTGCGTGTGTGTGTGTATATACAAAAAAATTAAGCAACAGATTAAATCTTCCTTTCTATAGCAATACTGTAGCGAACCCTGAATATATTATTGGCTACCACTTTACTTGAGAGTAAGAAAACAATTGTAAAATTAAAACAGAATTCACGGGGAAAGATTGGGCCTAGAGTGGCACCTACGTGGATAACTGCATCCACAGAAAGCCTGAGAAAGCTTGGGAAAGAATAGAGTAAAGCATGTTTTCTTAGTAGCAGCAATTTCTCAGGTCTGCTCTGCTTGCTAGAGGCAAGCAAGTACTCTCATCTAAGAGAGGCTTCCTGACTCAGCTTTAGCTGCAAAACCTTGCAGTTCTTTAAGAGGTCCTGCCATGAAATACTTAAATGGTGTTGATGAAAAGCTGAACGTGTGCTTTTCGGTTTTCAGCTGAAGCAGGAAAAAAGCCATGCTGTTTTAAAATGCCATCTTTCTGGGCTGCCCTGCCAGGGCAATCTCTGACTCTTTCAGGCAGGCAGTCCGACTGAGTGTGGTCTGTGAGCAGAATGCTGCAGCTTGCTTGCTGGCAGGGACCTTGAAATGCCATAGAGTTGGGGCAATAAAAATGGCTACAGCCGGTACCTCCGCTGTGAGGCTGAAAAGCTAAGGAATAGGTCGTCAAATCCTCTCCAAAAAGACTCGTGTAGTCAGAAAGAGAGATATACAGTAAAGAGAGATTCAAAGACAAAGGAAACCCCTAAATGTTTTACAGTGTGTTAAAAAATATATGCAGGATGAAAGTTAAAGTTCTTAAAGTAAAAAAAAAAGAAAGAGAGTAGTAGGGTGTGGTAGCACACACCTTTAATCCCAGCACTGGCAGGCAGAGACAGTCAGATCTCTATGAGTTCCAGGACAGCCTGGTCTACAGAGTTATTCCAGGACAAAGATATACAGAGAACCTGTCTCTAAAAGTAAAAGTAAAAGAAATAGAGGTTAAAATAAAGCTGCATAAAGATGGAAAATACACAGAGAATCTTGATACTGTATGCTGTTATGTTCTCTTTGAATTGTTTGAATGATGAGGAAGGAGCAACAGCTGCTAAAAGATATTTGTTTATAAATGCTGCTGAATTAATCCAAGATAGGTATTCTGAAAATACCTTGACTTCAAAATTGAAGTAAAAAAGTGTGTTACTTTGGAGAAGAGGATTTGCTTTTGCTTCCACAGAAAATGAGAGGCTGTGGATTCATTCTGACTTAAGAAAAATCCAGTTTGACCAAGGGAGACCACCTGAGAGATCTCTGGTAGGAACAGATGGCCCAGATGTCTGAGTTCTTCATCCAGAACAGGTTCAAGACTGCTGCCTGAGACGATAAAGACTCACAGGATACTCCAGTCAGGACTTGAATATAACTCTAAATTTTCTTTAGATCCCCATAAGATTATCAGTGCCCCCAATCAGTAGAAAGTAGCCTGGAAAACTGTGCCCATGTTCCCCCCAAAAATGGAGTATGGATATTTTCCTTTGTTTTTTTTTTTAAAAAAAGGAGGGGGAAATGGCATGGGAGAATTGTCTGTATTCTGTCAATCATATATTTTAATAAAATGCTGATTGGCCAGGCAGGAAAACCAGACAGGAAGTAAAGGTGATGCAATGAGAACAGGAGAATTCTGGGAAGCAGGAAGCTCCCTCTGCATTCCTTCCCAGACCACTGAAGAAGCAACATGTGAGCTGACAGCTGAAAAAGGTACCAAGCCATATGGCTAACATAGATGAGAATAATGGGCTAATATAAATTATAAGAGTTAACAAGAAACCTGAGCTAATGGGCCAATCAGTTTATAATCTTATGGAGTCCTGTGTGTGATTTTCTTTGGGACTTGCTGGTTGTGGGGTATCGGGCAGGACAGAAACCCCAACAAGCCAGCTAGCCCCTCATGTTATATTAGGAAAGTAAAATTGCCATTTCAGAATAAATGGAAAGACCTATAATGGAATGTTTGTTTATATTGATCCTAAACAAATGATTAAGACCAAGATTCCAAATACCACTGGAAGTGGCTGCCTCTGAGGTGTCATTGCAGTGGATAAGGTCTAATACATGACAACCTAATCCTATTGTCTTATATGTAATGGTAAGTAACGAGGAGGCTGAATACAGCTACACTTTCCAAAGAGCTGGGACACCACCACCTCCGAGAGTCATCATGTCAGCAATCATACCAGATTACTCTCTCTCTAGTCTTCAATATTTTTCTGTTATTTCTGATACTGTGATAAATTACATCTTCCCTTCCTTTTTCTCCCTCCCTCCCCACTCCCATACACCCCTCCCACTCCCCTTCAAGCTCACAGTTTCCGTTCTCACTTATTGTTATGACATGCACCTATGTGTGTACACACATTTATATATTCCAAAATACAATCTTCTTAGTCTATATAACGTTATTTGTATGTTTTTTCCCCCTCATTTTAAACTTCAGGCCTTTGGTGTTTCAGAAACTGACGTTTTACCCAGAAAAGGAATTCATGTGTGACAGAAGCCCCTCTGTGCTCTCCAGGCCGTATCATGCATTTGATTTTGGTATTTCCTGAATGTCTGGATATAATCCACTGGCCTGTACCATATATTTTTGGATTTTTTTTTTACTACTTTGATTTAAAAACAATTTTGGAACCAAAAAACCCTTTTCAAATTGCAAGAAATTTGTAAAAATGGAAGTTAACTTTCTTCCTTTTCAGACATTTACACCTAGGGTTTGATTTAATCTCCCGGTCCCTGTGAGCTGTCTTTGCCTAACTCATGCGGCTTTGCCCACTTCCCCTTCTTCAGGGCAAATTTCAAATCTTTAAAAAAAATGGAAGGAAAATAACCTACTGACTTAAAATGAAACTCATAATTACAGTAACATGTTAAGACTGAGTTTCCTCAGTTGGTAGTCAATTTTTCATTCACAAAAAATACATAGAATTTTAATTCTCCTTGTCCCATTTTCGGGGGAAATGAAGCAATAAGGAAACATTCAAGTACTGTACCAGGTGAGAAAAAAAATCCCATAGAAACAAGAGGTTACAATAGAAGCCAAGTTTAACCAGAGGCCAAGACAGAAGACTAGCTTCCCAGACACATAGCTTCACTCTGAAGTGGCTTTGGCAGCTTGTAACTGGAGCAAAAATGTGGATATTTCTCCCTCCAAGTTGCCATTTTAAAACTTTCTTTTTATTTATCCTTTGTGTCTTTCACATCATGCATCTCCATCCCATTCATTTCCCCGTCCCTTTGTATCTACTCTGCCTTTGCAACCCCCTCAACCAAATAAAATAAAATTTAAGAGGAAACAAAGAAAAGGAAAGGAATCTCATCATGGAAACTAGTATGGCATAGTGAGTCATGCAGTAAACTCTTTTATCCATATATCTTTACATGCATGTACACAGAGTCATTAGTCTGGTCACACAGACTAACACAGGTTTCTACTTCACTAGCAATGCCAGGCCCTCACTGGGACTCCTCTTGGTTATCCTGTGTTGCCATGTGTTGTGAAACTCCTGCAGCTTTGGTTCTTCATGTGCTCCTGTAGATCATGGTTTGGGTGCACATTGTGGTGGGCCAACTCTTAACCCTGGTTCTAGACAGGGCTAGTGAGCCCTGGGTGTTTGCAGGGTTGGTCAGTCCACCAGCCCTCTTCTGCCCCCACCATCATGTCTTCACCATCCTGGTGAGCTCACCATCCCTGCCTTGGCTAGTTCAGCCCTTGCAGTGATGCGAAAGGGGCGGGTCCAGTTCTCCTGCTTTCTTTCCCCCAGGGACAGCGCTCCCACACATCCCTTCAGGACCAGCTCTCCTGCCTGGCCCAGTGGCCACTCTCCTGAGTGCTGCAGCTGTGGAGGGGGCAGGGACAGTTCTCCTCTTACAATCTCAGGGCCAGCTCTCCCACTTGTCACAGATGGTGAGGAGTGTGTGTGTGGGGGGGGGCGTTTCTTCCCTGCACACACCACCATATGGCAAATGAGGGAGAGAGTCAGATCTTCCATGCTCAAGTTCTCGGGGCCAGTTCCCCCCACACCATCAGTAGGGTCAGCTCTACTGTGCTGCCCAGGTGAAATGCAGGATCCACTTTCCAGAGTGTGCAGCTCCCCTGCCCACCACAGCTGGCAGGGCAAGGGTGGGAGAGCATCTTTCGCTTGCTCCAAACACCACAGGGCAGACAAGGGAAGTGTGGCCAGCTGTCCAACTCTTACACCCTCAGGGTCAGCTCACCTGTGCCTCTGTGAGTGCTGCAGTCACAGGCAGTGAGGGGTGAAGGGTAAGGGGGCGTATCTCCCACACCCACAGGGCCACAAGAAAATTGAGTTGTGGGGACAGTCTCCGACACTCACAACGTAGGACCTGGCTCACCCACTGGGCTATCCAGATAAGGAGCAGGGCCTGTTCTGAGTGCTACAGGAGGTGAGGGGTTAGGTCAGCTCCTCCACCTGCTGCAGGAGGTGAGGAGTTAGGGGAGCAGGGCATCTTTCTCTTACCCACCATGATGCAGATGAGAGGAATTCCACCTGTTGTCCCATCTTCACACACTCAAGGACAGCTCTCCCATACTTCTGTAAAGAAAGTCAGCTCTAGCAGGCTTCCAAGGTGAGATGTAGGGCCGTATCTCCTGACCACTTCAACTGGTAAGGGGTAGGACCAGTTCTCTCTGGTGCTACAGCCGGTGATGGGCAGAGCCAACTCTGTACAGCCCTATCCTCTTCGTCTTTGGAGGTATCAGGAGCCTCAGACATCAACACAGACCGTGGCTGCATCAGGGACATGAACCCAGCTATGGGCCCCAACAGCAGCCCAGGCTCGGACATCGCCACGGCCCTGAGTAGCATTTAAGGCTCCCACCTCAGCCTGCTCTTCACCTCTTCAGACATGCCTGTCCACAGCAAATGAATCCTAATTTCCACCAGGTTCAGTGACCTGGGACAGATGCGTGACGTCAGCGTGATGATTTCTGACCACCTGTTTCAAACAAGTGGTCCAGTGTCCCGCGCTACCGTCTCGCCAGCAAGAACCACGCGGTACACATAGGATCCTTCTGCAGAAAGGCTTTAATCCTCTTGGGAGCTAGAGCATAAGCCACATGGCGGAGACCCAGATAAGATGGAACCCATCCCTTATAAAGGAAACAGACCCTGCCTTGGACGTGTCATTCCTGGATTGGTTAACTGCTCCCAGTCCCAGATGAAACCTCGGGAGTAGGCAGGGACGCAGCGGTAGAGAGTTACAAAGCACGTGCGCTAGGATTAAAGGCGTGTGCCGCCACACCTTGGGGTCACAGAGGTCAATCTCTACCTTTGTTCCTAGAAGCAATGGAGAATGTGGTCCGGCCCTCCACAGTCCAGGATTGCCTGGGATTTTTTTTTTATTCATATGGTTTTAGTAGTTTGCATGAACAGTTTTATAATCATTTTGTTGCTAATAATAATTACAACATTTGCCACTTTGTTCCCTTACCTCATTCCTTTTCTGCCCCTCAACTTCCCCACAGGTAACCACTACCTACTTAATTAGCTAAATTAACATTTAGCTCTAATGTTAAAAGCATAAGCAGTATTGCAAGGAACAGAGGAAGTTTTCTAACTAGATACACTTAGAGGTAGAACAGATTGACCAGTTACAACATCATGCAAAGTGAAAAAAAAAAAAAGGGTTTGCCTCTAATGGTTAGCGTTTAACTTTGGTGAAATCTAATGTAAGACCTTACTGTTAACAGTTGGCATTGCTTATCTCTTGTTCTCATGTCCCCTTCCCTCAGCTTCCTACAGTGATGGCTCCTTCAGTATTGGCACAGCTATAGAAAGGAGGGCATTGTGGGCTTCAGGATGCTGCCTCATTCCCTGTTCCTAGACTGCTCCCATTAACCCTGATACCTATCTATTAGCATTTCTCCAAGGCTCTTGTGGTGAAAAACACTCTCTCCAGAACAGTTGTGCAAATTTGTAATATTATTGTGAACTTCTGTGACTCTTTCAGACTAGTTGCAAGGTGTGTTGGAAAGACAACATTCTGTTCTTGAGAAGCCTCAATTCATGATTACCCCTGAAACATCAAAGGCTTTAGGAGCTAAATCAGGCTGACTGTCTATTTGTAACAACATCCCTTCTGGTTCACCCAGAGAAGAGTCATCAGAGGGAAGTTTTCATTACATCAGAGCCATTTCATCCATAGCTCTAAAACAGCAAGACTAGAGGCAGAGAGGCAGCCAGCAATAATTTGTATAAGGGAAGCAAGAAGAGCGAGTAGCAAATGGGTTAAATTCTCCATAACCTTTCCACAAGAGAACATTCTTGAGCTATTCTCAGGTCCCCCAAAGAAGTCACAGCTTCCAGCACTTCAGCACATTCTCTCTCTCTCTCTCTCTCTCTCTCTCTCTCTCTCTCTCTTTCTCTCTCTTTTCCTCCCTCCCTCCCTCCCTCCCTCCCTCTCTCTTCCATACTCCATCACACACTTGCTCACTATAGTAAGTAGTACCTGACTGCCCAATGCTGTGTGATGCCAGGTGGGCCTGTGCATCCTCCTCTGAGCCCAGGGTGGACTGCCCCCGGCCTGTGTGTGGGTCTCTTTGACCTGCTAGGTCCATTCTGGTCTAAAATTTGCAAATGTTGACAAAATTTA